CAGCAGACCGTGGAGCAACATGCTCTCTTTGAACTGAAATGCATTTACTCCACCACCCAGGTTTTTTGCATGACCTTTCCGATTGCAGGTTGATAAGGATATATTCATGTTCTTTATAAATGTAATTAATAAATTGTTCATTTATTTATGTATTTTTCAAAAGCAATACAGTTGAAGCTGTAAGAGTATCATATTTAATACTTCATGTAGAAGCAATGCATGGAGATGTAATCTTCCCTCGACTGTAGACATGGAGATTTAGGCTCTGATGGACGTTGTAATACAGTAACTACTTAGGAACTTCGGCAGACAAACGCATTGATCCCCCTCAAGCTGTAAACATTTTCTGAGGGGACCGTTCCAGCAATGTAGGACAGTTTAATTTCTGTCTCTAATGCTCAAGACATCCACAGGATATTTTAAGCTGCTTTTGAAGCCAGAAAGGTCTATCATCACAAGACCTGACTTGCTGTTGGAAGCCAGTAAAGGTTTGTGTTGAGCTTTACTTTGATTTCTGTGAGGATTTTCTTGAAGAGACGTTTCTGTTAACAGGTTCTGAAATGGTCATTTCGTTTGTAGAGCGATTCTCTTGCATGTGACAAAGTTCATTTTGATTTGTTAAAAATATTGATGTTTGATTCTCGTGTGTGATCGTTATTTGAACACTGCCTGGCGACCCTGCTGGGATGATTCTTGAAACCGAAAAAAACTATTTACTCTCTCAAATATCAAAGAATGACTTTAAAAGAGTCATGTTACTAGCAAAGTTCAGTTTGATTGCATGTTTACTTTGGAAAAAATGAATCTGTTGATTTATTGGTCAATATTGGCCACGTTTGGCTGTGTTTGTCATCTTGAGTTGAGGATTGATGGACATGGTGTATTGTGGTACTGGATCTGTTTGTCTTGGTCTTCAATTACCGGCCTGTGCTTGTCGGTGTTAAACAGTTCTCTTGAAGATGAACCATAGCATCAGGCTAATCACATGATGCTACAAGTGTTCGTTGAGGTTATCATGTCTGTGATGGAATTGATTGACCTTCGTTTGAGGTCATGACTTCCGGACTGATAACGGAGCTGGTTCCTCAAGGATTAGTACAGGCTTGCAAAGGCCTGAAGTTTACGGTATGTCTTGAAAAGACCTTTAATATTGTAAGGTCTATCTTCAAGAATGTTGTGAATGTTAAGGTCTGCATTGGTCTGTATTGAACAGGCCTTGAATTGCAAGGATTGTCTTGAAAATTGCTTGAAATTTAAGATCTGTCTTGAAAAGGCATTGATTTTAGATTCTGCCTTGAAAATGGATAATACACCTGGAAAAACCTCACCCAGTCCCTGTCTCAATTAGAATTACAGAAAATACATCTGTTCATTTTTTTAAAAAGCTTTGTTGAAATCTGTTAAAAACTCTTTTGTATATATAATATTGCTGTAATTTTGCAGTGATGTGGCTGAAATATTGCTGTGATGTTGCTGAAATATTGTCGTGATGTTGCTGAAATATTGTGAAAAGCAGCATATTTAACCCTACTCACTCCAACATTTGGCTCATGAGTGAGTGAGTATGGTTTTACGCCGCTTTTATCAATATTCCAGCAATATCACGGCGGGGGACACCAGAAATGGGCTTCACACATTGTACCCATGTCGGGAATCGAACCCGGGTCTTCAGCGTGACGAGCGAACGCTTTAACCACTAGGCTACCCGACCGCCCCTTTGGCTCATGAAATAAGGACTATCTTTTCCACTTTTCTTAAGCAAGTTCTGAATAATTTACTGCTTATTTGAAATTATAACATCTGCAATTAGAAAGTAAATTTTATTATGTTACGACATGTGGAAGTGAATAATGTGAGATGAATACTCCATATATGAAATAACTGATTCTACTGGTTTTGACATTTTGAATATAAACTTTAAATATAAACTCAATATTCCTCTGCCATAATCTTTTGTGGTACAAACATCACACTATCTGCCCTTTTCCTAATCATTTTGAAAGAGCTGATTCAAGATGACTCTAAAGCCACAATCAGATCTCACCTCTGTCCCGTCTACATTAAAGGCCGACTCTGGTACTCGTATCCAATCGAATTAGGTGGTAGGGATGTCACAGAGTACAATTCCATCAAAGTACTGGAACCATTACTGTCCACTTTGAGGCAAAGGTCATGTGTGTACTCCCGAGGATGCCCTTTGCTGAGGTCGTGAAATAGGCTTCTAACTTTGTTTCATACACTGACAGCGTTTATTACATGCTCATCTTGATGGACTTCTTTCATGCATATGGCTGTTAAATCGACAGTAGGATTCTGAAATCATTTGATGAGATTGTGTCATGAGTTTAATTCAGCGTGGGTTTTTTACGCTGTGTTTGAGTTGTGTTGGTTGAGTGGATAGAAGCAAGGTTCTCTTGAGGTCATGTTTGATGTTGAATTAATGATTGACGTCTCCGTGTGTTTGTATAATGTTTTTTGTGTGGATTTTGTTGCAATATTGGAGAGGTAGTAATTCAGGATGGTTCTTTTTAAAGTTTATTCACAGGAGTCTGAAGTTTTGATTAAATAATGATTTTTTCATAACTTTTTATTGTAGAAGACCAAAACGGAAATGTCATCTCAGAATATTTCAACTCTACTCCCATGTATCGTGTCATATTTCAATGAAACAACTATGCCATCGGAAATGATGTGGTCAGACGGTTTCAGTATAAATTGGTCCTTGCAACTACCTCATTAAACCCTTTCCCTATGTCCCACATGTAATTATTATCCATAAATTCTCTTCCTTGTTCTTCTTGTACAGTTCTGTTCTGGAGTCTATGACTGAGATATATTACTCTGGGTGTTTCTATATATAGAGGGGCGGTCGGGTAGCCTAGTGGTTAAAGCGTTCGCTCGTCACACCCAAGAGCCGGGTTCGATTCCCGACATGGGTACAATGTATGAAGCCCATTTCTGGTGTCCCCCGCCGTGATATTGCTGGAATATTGCTAAAAGCGGCGTAAAACCATACTCACTCACTCACTCTATATATAGAGCTGGGCATCAGTGAAAGGCAAACAATTTCATTATTTTACTCAGGACTTTGATTCCAGTTGTGTACTTATCGGTCTTGTTGGGGCAGTGGGTAGCCTAGTGGTTAAAGTGTTCACCTGTCGCGCTGAAGACACAGGTTCGATTCTCCACATGGTTACAATTCGTGAAGCATTTTTCTGGTGCCCCATTTCATGATGTTGCAGGAATATTGAAACTGACGTAAAACTATATACACTCGTCAATATGGGTCTTGTTCTTGGGAGATTTTATGGATGTCCTGCAGTGGTTTTTACCGACGTTCCTCTACGCACATTCACCCGACAGAAATAACATGAAAAATGATGTATGGAGGTGCCTATGAGTCATGTGACTGAGTAGTGATGTTACGAGTTCACCCAATTATGGTGTTGACATTGTTACCCAAATATGGTATTGATGCTTTTACCTATATATGATATTGACATTATAAGCCAATTATGGTGTTGCCGTTATTACTTATATATGGTATTGACGTTATTTCGCATAAATGGTATGACCATTATTAGCCAAATATGGTGTAAACATTATTTCCCATACATGGTATTGACATTATTAGCCAAATAAGGTGTTGACGTTATTACCCATATATGGTACTGGAATTTTAAGCCAAATATGGTCTTGACATCATCAACAATATATGGTATTGTGAGTGAGTGAGTGAGCGGGTGAGTTGGGTTTAACGCCGCTTTTAACAGTATTCCAGTTATATCGAGGCGTGTCAGCTTAATGTGGGAGGAAAGCCCGAAGTGATGCAGGTCTCAGACGTTTACCACTTCGGTGAAACCCACGAGCACGGGCATGGTGCTGACAAACCTAGAAACATAATCGGGGCGAACCGGGATTCGAACCCACAATCAAAGGTTTCTGGCATGCTCAAGGGACACAACTCTGCACAGCGAATCGCAACTCTGCACAGCGAATCGCGGAGCCTTAGACGACTGGGCCACCCGTGCCCCCTTATATATATGGTATTGACATTATTAGTGACTCATGTATTTGAGAGAAGGAATTGTTCCTGTGTTATGAGAATGTTTCAAGTACTGTTCTACTATAGTTACAAACATTGTGTCAGTTTTGTTGACTAATGTCTACATAATAAAGGACATGTTGTATTGCTTGAGTGTCTGGCCTTCAATAAGGTCAGCTTATCAACATTCACAAATAGGTCAGTATTCACAAATACAAAATGTATCCCAAGAAGTGTTTGGTTACAAACCCAGGACTAACTTGAATTTGAACACTTAACTGATACTTTGTACTTCCTGTAAATATTTGCTTCCACTGTGATGCGGCCATCAAATCAGCTGTTACAATCAGAGGTGGTTATTGTGATTTGAAACCTCTGATTCTACAATCAAGTATTTTCCTGATTTATGACAGAATTACTTAGCAAGAGAATTTGATGAATTATTATAGCATATTGTCAGGGGAAGGCTGTAAGGTAAATACAAGCATCATTGTTTTGGCTGCTGTCAAATCAGCGGTTTCAATCAGAGGTAGTTACAAATTTGTTTCAGAATTTGTTTTAAAGAAAGAATTAATTATTTCAGCAAGTTGCTATTGGGAAGGCCATTAAGTATTGACAATCTTTTGGGGAAGGTCAACCAATTATAAGAAGGGAATTATTTTTATTGTTTGTTTGTTGTTTAACGCCACATTCAGCAATATTCCAGCTATATGACGGCGGTCTGTAAATAACTGAGTGTGGACCAGACAATCCAGTGATTGACATTATGAGCATCAATTAGGATCAATGACATGCATCAGCCAAGTCAGCGAGCCTGACCAACTGATCTTGTTAGTCGCCTTTTACGACAAGCATAGTCACCTTTTACGGCAGGCATGGGTTGCTGAAGACCTATTCTACCCCGGAATCTTCACGGGTCGGATTTATTATTGACAAATGATGTTTTGTGTTACAGAACTGTGAGTTGAGTCAAGCAGAGAGGGCAGTTGTGTGTATACAGAGGTATTTCCGTGGATACAAGGGGAGACAACTCTACAGAGATCTCCTGTTTGAAAGATTTGAAGAGGTAGGAGTCAATTGAACAGTTAGTGTCTTGAGTGATTCCAACGTTCAAACACTTTTAAAACTTTTGAGTTGTTTGAAAATGATAAGTTTTTGTAATGGACAGAATCATTTTGTCCTTTGTTTGTTGATTAATGCGCTCCAAGCACCAATCAAGCTATGTGATGACAACGAATAAATCGAGTATGGACTAGAGAATCCTGTAACCCAGTCATCAAAGGTACCGAAATATGCATTAGAAATGTTGTCTTAAATAAATGCTTAGTCCAATGTGTTGATACATAAATATCAAACACAGAAGTTGAGGTTGGTCAATTTGGGGTCATCCAGCGGGATTTATTGGTTAGCATAGGTCCCAAGCAGCCAATGCTGGTCTTAAGAGGCGACCAATCGGATCAGGTGGTCAAGCTTGGACGATTGCTGGCAAAGGTCCCCAGATGGCGTTGATCTTTACTCACAATATCTATCACTGGATTGTCTGGTCCAGACTCAATTATTTCGAATGATACTGTCCTATAACAGGAATATTGCTGAGTGCAGCATTAAACAACAAACAAACAAACAAACAAACGATAGGCACAGTGATGTATGTGCTGCAGCATATCCCTGAAAAAACATGGTTACCATATTCGACGTAATAAGCGCCCCGCTCTAATAAGCGCCCACGGCGATTTTTGCTAATATATTGGCCAGTGAACCACCCCAATTAGCACCTCTTCCAAGTGATCAATGTACACAAGACTTATTTATCCGTGTATAATACGCACTCGTGTGTTATATGCACCCCATACCATGGGCAATGAAATTCTGGAAAAAAATATTTGTCGTGTCTAAAAGACTTTTTTTTTGTATCATTTCAGGCTGTCAGCATAAACCACGAAATTTACGATCTTTTAACTCTCTTTTTTCACCAAAATTTTATTCCAATAAGAGCCCCCTATTTCTAATTTTGAGAGCGCCCTGGGCGCTTATTATGTCGAATACGGTAAATGGGATTTGGAATTTGGAAAGCCTAGCAATCTCTGATTGAATGTTTTAAACAATCTGATTGGATGTGTTTTCTCCCAGACTCCCAGATGAGATATAGTATTCAGAAATTCATTCTGATTATTGTCTTCATTACGTACTGGTTCTATAGATCGGGGTCCCTGCAAAATACTTTCAAAGAGCGTTGGTTTACGGTATTGGCCAACCCCTTTTTATATACCATGGGTTTTATCATTGAAACTTGGCCTATGCCTATGTGAATTGACAGCATGGGGTGTGATATGGCATCGCCGTGGGATGGTCATGGCGGAGGAAGAGCAACAGTTTAATTAAACTATGTTAACAAAAATTGATTCAGATATGCCATCTTGCTTGACGGTAATGGAAGAACGATGTTACCAAGGATACGTTAGATCACAGGGAGGTAATTTGAACTGCGCCATGACATCAACCCATCATGACGTACCGTAACTCAAAAAGTGTACTTTATCACAGGATCGGTGTCTTTGATCTTTTACCGAAGCATCTTAAAACTGGTAATATACTTCATTTTACAGTGACCGGAACTTTCAGACCCAACTCCAGCATGTTGGCATTGAAGCTAATGACGTCAATGTTTGATGATGTTTTGGTCCAAAGTGGTCCATCCTACGTGTCATGATGTATTTAAGATGTATTCAGGGATTTATGGGTGATACTGAGTTTTGTTCAGTCGTAGCCCTGAATCATTGTCTATTGACATCATTAACACTATTTCAAGGAACATATATCCATTGTAGAGTGTGTCTTCGCGGCATTGCCACGTCTATTGGATAACGACTCAAGAAATGCCATCCACGTGCCTCTGTTTTGCGCATGGTTTCCAATATGGACAGATCTCATATTATATCGTATTTGACGTAATAAGCGCCCAAGGCGCTCTCAAAATTAGACATAGGGGGCTCTTATTAGAACATTATTTTGGTGGAAAAAAACAGAGTTGAAAGATAAATTTCGTGGTTAATATGGCATCGCACTTATCTCCTGATCGCCCTCGACATTTAAGTCAAAATTGACAATCGTGACCTGGACAATTTACTTGGATTTTGTTATCATTATTGACATAATAACTAGGGCTGGTTATCGATATGGATTACTCAGATCGATTATCGGTAGTCACGTATCGATCAATAATTGATAAATATCAAAGAATTCTATTTTGGTAAAATGACATTACAGAAAAATGGCAATTCACTTCACCGGAGACTCAGTGTTTCAACAATACGCACGTTACATCGCATTTTTAGCGATGAACAATCTGAGTTTAAGATTCATGTCGTCAAAGACAATTATTATTTGTATAAAGTGAGAATACCGTATTTTCTTGAGTATTCCTTTTAATATTGTTTTTATTAATTTCGGCGAAATCGAGTGTGAAGCGATCGGAAGATCGCACAACTCACCGTTATTAACAGCAACCACGGTCAGAATACCGCTATTGACGTCTTGAAACGAACTTTAGTTGACAGAGAATGGATACATATATCATAAATGACATACTTTGACTTGTTAAAAGTCATATTTGTTTTTGTTTGACGATTCTATGTCAACATGAAATTCTCGCGATCACGCGATCACGTGCGCGTGAGCCTTGACGGTGACTGGTCAGACTGGTTGCATGTAAAAAAATAATACCCGGGAATAGCGATCAGCTGCTTCGCTTAGGGTTATTATCTATTTTAAATATGTTTAGTAAAGGCTGCATATAATTAAGAAAATAATGGAATATATTATTCTTGATAAAAAAAAATAGTTTCATATACAATTTTTGCCGATCCTTGCATTAAAAATCCTATTAAGTTATATCATTGGGTGTGTCTTGACCGAATCACCGGTCGATTCCAAGAAAACGTGTGTACAGCTGATTGCTGTTTCCGGCTTAGTTTACGAGAAAATACACAAGGTAATCTTAATCCCTGGATATAAAACAATGCCTAGCAGAACAATAAATACTATTTAAACGGTAAATAAACATGTCTGGTGATTTTTTATCTCAAATTTCGAATTTGTACTGACGAAGTTTCACATCACCCGTTCGTGTGCCGGACTTCGCTGAAAGGGTACGGTGTAATTTTTTTCTGCGCATAATATTCAAATTTCTTTTTTTCCAAAATATTAAACCCGCTAGAGGGGGGTGCGCATTATACATGGGTGACCACTGTACTCAAGAAAATACGGTAATTGAGAAATTAAATGTAATTTCACCTGATATAGTCGTTTGTCATTTATGTACAGTATTCACGAAACTATTCAGATAAAAAATCATCGAATATTCCGCCATTGTGAATGTCAGGTGTGTACAGGTGTGTGCTACGTAGTAGGTTGTACTAGGTTCACAGGTGTGATACGTAATAGATTAGGTGGCAGACTGATATTAAACAAAAATGTCAAACCCCACGTGGACCTCACGTGGGCTGTGAGTTTAGAATACCGGGAAAAACGAAAACTATGATCATTGAAAAAATCGAAACAGACTGGAATACGTAGTTACCAAATAGACATAAAATTTGAAATTTTATGAAATAGAATGGGAAGAATTCTTTTTAAGAATAAAAGTATTATGAAACCTATTTTAATCATGATACTTCATACTATTTCGAAAATATACATATTTTCTAAAATCCTGACTCCGCATTTAGATGCCATTGACTACATTTGTAACTACCCACTAACAACACGTAATGGCGTCGTCGTTCGATTCAAAGCAGAACTTTTTACTTTTTGAAACATTTGATTATTATTTGCGACTAAACATAAAGCGTAGGGAAGAAAACTGTATGTTAGGGTGAATCTGTTTATATCTAGCGATAATTACAAGGACAGCAAAACAAATAAGTCAAATGTGTTGCAGTAAAAACTTTTATTTGTCGAAAAAATACATGTCATTATCGATAGCATTATATTCATATCGATAATCGTCACAACCTTCTTCCATCGATGATAATTACGATTATCGATCTAAATCACCAGCCCTAATAATAACCTCAGACACCAAAATTCTGTGTCTAAAAGGATATGTTGAGGCCTTGCACAAGTGAGGGCAACTTTGTAGATATAAATTCTGAAGAAATTTAACAAGGACGGTAGGGATGTTAGTTCTGATACTTGTGCTTGAAGACCTGGGCGGCATGGGGTCTTTTCCTGAATTAAAAACAGTATTTTATATTTATGTATATATTTCGTGAAATACTCATAATGATGTCAATTTATACACAAGTCTGACAACCTTATTTGATGAATGTACGTTCAGGCACCGAGTGAAATGTATGCAGGCTATGTTCAGTACGCTGTCTAACCGCCCGTGCTAAGGGACCAGTTCAAACGTTTGATGTTGTATAAAAAAAAATTTTGTTACATAAACGTTTTGAGACATACATGTACCCCCTAACCCCTAAAAAAAATAAATTCTGACAATGTTGAATTTCCGAGTTTACTGGCCTCTTTTTTCATGCATTCTTGAGTTTTTCCCTGCTTTTCACAATGTTTATTGAATGAAGTATATTTCCTAGGTGTTGACAATCATTTGTAGCGTTTGTATACATCATACCTGTCATCATATATTACACACTGCACAAGATGGACCATTGCTGGTAACGATAAAACCCGATGTTGTGGATGTATTTACTGACAACTACTAACAGCCTAGGAATGAAAATAGGATCAGTTTAGTTCAGTTACTCTATAAGACATTGAGAAATCTGGTTATTTGTTTTTATTGGATGGAAAACTTGCCAGGCCATTAACACACACACACCCACACACCCACACACCCACACCCCCACACCCCCACACCCATCCTCACCCTCACCCACACCCACACCCACACCTACAGCCACACCCACACCCACACTCACACCCACACCCACACCTACAGCCACACACACACCTACACCTACACCTACACCCACACCCACACCTACAGCCACACCCACACCCACACCCACACCCACACCCACACCCACACCCACACCTACAGCCACACCTACACCCACACCCACACCTACAGCCACACACACACCTACACCTACACCTACACCCACACCCACACCTACAGCCACACCCACACCTACACCTACACCTACACCTACACCTACACCTACACCCACACCTACAGCCACACCCACACCCACACCTACAGCCACACCTACACCCAAACCCACACCTACAGCCACACACACACCTACACCTACACCTACACCCACACCCACACCTACAGCCACACCCACACCTACACCCACACCTACAGCCACACCCACACCTACACCCACACCCACACCCACACCTACAGCCACACCTACAGCCACACCCACACCCCAACCCACACCCACACCTACAGCCACACCCACACCTACACCCACACACACACCTACACCTACACCTACACCCACACCCACACCAACACCTACACCTACACCTACAGCCACACACACACCTACACCTACACCCACACCTACAGCCACACACACACCTACACCTACACCTACACCCACACCTACACCCACACCCACACCAACACCTACACCCACACCTACAGCCACACACACACCTACACCAACACCTACACCTACACCTACACCCACACCCACACCAACACCTACACCCACACCTACAGCCACACACACACCTACACCTACACCTACACCCACACCCACACCAACACCTACAGCCACACCTACAGCCACACCCACACCCCAACCCACACCCACACCTACAGCCACACCCACACCTACACCTACACCCACACCTACACCCACACACACACCTACACCTACACCTACACCCACACCTACACCCACACCCACACCAACACCTACACCCACACCTACAGCCACACACACACCTACACCAACACCTACACCTACACCTACACCCACACCCACACCAACACCTACACCCACACCTACAGCCACACACACACCTACACCTACACCTACACCTACACCCACACCCACACCAACACCAACACCAACACCAACACCTACACCTACACCTACACCTACACCTACACCTACACCCACACCCACACCAACACCTACAGCCACACCTACAGCCACACCCACACCCCAACCCACACCCACACCTACAGCCACACCCACACCTACAGCCACACACACACCTACACCTACACCTACACCCACACCCACACCTACAGCCACACCCACACCCACACCCACACCCACACCTACAGCCACCCCTACACCCACACCCACACCTACAGCCACACACACACCTACACCTACACCTACACCCACACCCACACCTACAGCCACACCCACACCCACACCCACACCTACAGCCACACCTACAGCCACACCCACACCCCAACCCACACCCACACCTACAGCCACACCTACACCCACACCCACACCCACACCTACAGCCACACCTACACCCACACCCCAACCCACACCCACACCTACAGCCACACCTACAGCCACACCAACACCCCAACCCACACCTACAGCCACACCTACAGCCACACCTACAGCCACACCCACACCCCAACCCACACCCACACCTACAGCCACACCTACAGCCACACCCACACCCCAACCCACACCTACAGCCACACCCACACCTACAGCCACACCCACACCCCAACCCACACCCACACCTACAGCCACACCTACACCCACACCCCAACCCACACCCACACTTACAGCCACACCTACAGCCACACCCACACCCCAACCCACACCCACACCCACACCCACACCTACAGCCACACCCACACCTACAGCCACACCTACAGCCACACCCACACCCCAACCCACACCCACACCCACACCCACACCCACACCCACACCTACAGCCACACCAACACCCTCTCCCACCCCACCCTACCCCAAAACTTAAGGAATTAATATTTTTATCTGACATCAGACTGATCCCTAACTGATGTTGAACATCAACAAACCAGATACGTCAAGTTATTGTTACAACTATGGATTTGAGATAAAAAGACTGAATTACTTTCACAAATATGATCAGATAATGCACTTACAAATGTTATTGAATCTAGATGGTGTGGATTGTTTGGAACAATGGCGATGACATCACAGATGGTGTGGCAAGTCATGCATGCAACCAGACAGATATCACGGTTTGATGAACATGATGTCACAGTGGCTGGTTGAATACAAATGGGAAATAAATAATGTACTTGTGATGTAAGCGTTTTTACACAGTACAGTTGGCAGCTGTTGATGGATGTCAATTGAAAACACATGTTTATAAATACCTTTATTGTTATATGTTTTTTTTTCCATTAATCTTGTCAACTCGATTTAATTTCTGTTATGGATTTTCATGGCAAATAGAAGCCAGAATTTAAAAAAAAATTAAAAATATGTTGTAAAGGTTTAATTTAGGTCTAACCTGAAAGAAGCCTAATTAAATAAACAACTAAATATATATAGATAACCTATGTTCAGTGAGTGAGTGAGTGAGTGAGTGAGTGAGTGAGTGAGTATGGTTTTACGCCGCTTTTAGCAATATTCCAGCGATATATGGCGGGGGACACCAGAAATGGGCTTCACACATTGAACCCATGTCAGGAATCGAACCCGGGTCTTCGTCGTGATGAACAAACGCTTTAACCACTAGGCTACCCGACCGCCCCTATGTTCAGTGAAAAGACATTTTAATAAAAAAATATATATTTTTGCACATGAAATTAAGGATTGGCTTATCAGTAAAACAAAAAGGAATTTGGAATATGTGGGTTTCCAACTATTGTGGGGGTGGTGAGATAGCCGAGTTGGAAAAGTGTTTGCTCATCAAGCTGAAGTCCTGGGTTTGAAGAAGTGTTGAGAATGTGTATGTTCGTATGTGTTTATGAAAACCCCTTATTTGGTCCTGCTGAGCACACTGTCATGTTGAAGCTGGTTCTGATGAAGTTTTTCTCTCTCCCCAGGAGGAGAGGATGAGACAGGAGAAGACAATGCAGCAAGTGGAGGAAGGACAACTCTTGGTGGACAAGTAAGTTTGTGTCTGTGTGATATTGCTGGTGACTAACCAGCTGTGAGTGAGTGAGTGAGTGAGTGAGTGACTGAGTGACTGAGTGAGTGAGAAATATATCAACTGTAGCTAAGAAACATTGCTTAAGTGAACCAAAGATGTATATATGTCTTTGAGTGATACCACTGTTTTGTTGGCCAGTGTCAAAATATGGTGTCATCATGGACAATGGATGACATTATGTATTGTCCTCCATCACACCTGTATTGGACATTGCAAGTAATGGATGACATCATTGTGTATTGTTCTCCATCATCAAACTTGGACATTGCAAATAATGGATGACATCATTGTGTATTGTCCTCCATCACCAAACTTGGACATTGCAAATAATGGATGACATCATTGTGTATTGTCCTCCATCACACCTGTATTGGACATTGCAAGTAATGGATGACATCATTGTGTATTGTCCTCCATCACACCTATATTGGACATTGCAAGTAATGGATGACATCATTGTGTATTGTCCTCCATCACACCTGTATTGGACATTGCAAATAATGGATGACATCATTGTGTATTGTTCTCCATCACCAAACTTGGACATTGTAAGTAATGGATGACATCATTGTGTATTGTCCTCCATCACCAAACTTGGACATTGCAAGTAATGGATGACATCATTGTGTATTGTCCTCCATCACCAAACTTGGACATTGCAAGTAATGGATGACATCATTGTGTATTGTCCTCCATCACCAAACTTGGACATTGCAAGTAATGGATGACATCATTGTGTATTGTCCTCCATCACCAAACTTGGACATTGCAAGTAATGGATGACATCATTGTGTATTGTTCTCCATCACACCTATATTGGACATTGCAAGTAATGGATGACATCATTGTGTATTGTCCTCCATCACCAAACTTGGACATTGCAAGTAATGGATGACATCATTGTGTATTGTCCTCCATCACACCTATATTGGACATTGCAAGTAATGGATGACATCATTGTGTATTGTTCTCCATCATCAAACTTGGACATTGCAAATAATGGATGACATCATTGTGTATTGTCCTCCATCACCAAACTTGGACATTGCAAATAATGGATGACATCATTGTGTATTGTCCTCCATCACACCTGTATTGGACATTGCAAGTAATGGATGACATCATTGTGTATTGTCCTCCATCACACCTATATTGGACATTGCAAGTAATGGATGACATCATTGTGTATTGTCCTCCATCACACCTGTATTGGACATTGCAAATAATGGATGACATCATTGTGTATTGTTCTCCATCACCAAACTTGGACATTGTAAGTAATGGATGACATCATTGTGTATTGTCCTCCATCACCAAACTTGGACATTGCAAGTAATGGATGACATCATTGTGTATTGTCCTCCATCACCAAACTTGGACATTGCAAGTAATGGATGACATCATTGTGTATTGTCCTCCATCACCAAACTTGGACATTGCAAGTAATGGATGACATCATTGTGTATTGTCCTCCATCACCAAACTTGGACATTGCAAGTAATGGATGACATCATTGTGTATTGTTCTCCATCACACCTATATTGGACATTGCAAGTAATGGATGACATCATTGTGTATTGTCCTCCATCACCAAACTTGGACATTGCAAGTAATGGATGACATCATTGTGTATTGTCCTCCATCACACCTATATTGGACATTGCAAATAATGGATGACATCATTGTGTATTGTTCTCCATAACCAAACTTGGACATTGCAAGTAATGGATGACATCATTGTGTATTGTCCTCCATCACACCTATATTGGACATTGCAAGTAATGGATGACATCATTGTGTATTGTCCTCCATCACCAAACTTGGACATTGCAAGTAATGGATGACATCATTGTGTATTGTTCTCCATCACACCTATATTGGACATTGCAAGTAATGGATGACATCATTGTGTATTGTCCTCCATCACCAAACTTGGACATTGCAAGTAATGGATGACATCATTGTGTATTGTTCTCCATCATCAAACTTGGACATTGCAAGTAATGGATGACATCATTGTGTATTGTCCTCCATCACACCTATATTGGACATTGCAAATAATGGATGACATCATTGTGTATTGTTCTCCATAACCAAACTTGGACATTGCAAGTAATGGATGACATCATTGTGTATTGTCCTCCATCACACCTATATTGGACATTGCAAATAATGGATGACATCATTGTGTATTGTCCTCCATCACACCTATATTGGACATTGCAAATAATGGATGACATCATTGTGTATTGTTCTCCATCACCAAACTTGGACATTGCAAATAATGGATGACATCATTGTGTATTGTCCTCCATCACCAAACTTGGACATTGCAAATAATGGATGACATCATTGTGTATTGTCCTCCATCACACCTATATTGGACATTGCAAGTAATGGATGACATCATTGTGTATTGTCCTCCATCGCCAAACTTGGACATTGCAAATAATGGATGACATCATTGTGTATTGTCCTCCATCACACCTATATTGGACATTGCAAGTAATGGATGACATCATTGTGTATTGTCCTCCATCACACCTATATTGGACATTGCAAGTAATGGATGACATCATTGTGTATTGTTCTCCATCATCAAACTTGGACATTGCAAGTAATGGATGACATCATTGTGTATTGTCCTCCATCACACCTATATTGGACATTGCAAATAATGGATGACATCATTGTGTATTGTTCTCCATCACCAAACTTGGACATTGCAAATAATGGATGACATCATTGTGTATTGTCCTCCATCACCAAACTTGGACATTGCAAATAATGGATGACATCATTGTGTATTGTCCTCCATCACACCTATATTGGACATTGCAAGTAATGGATGACATCATTGTGTATTGTCCTCCATCGCCAAACTTGGACATTGCAAATAATGGATGACATCATTGTGTATTGTCCTCCATCACACCTATATTGGACATTGCAAGTAATGGATGACATCATTGTGTATTGTCCTCCATCACACCTATATTGGACATTGCAAGTAATGGATGACATCATTGTGTATTGTTCTCCATCATCAAACTTGGACATTGCAAGTAATGGATGACATCATTGTGTATTGTCCTCCATCACACCTATATTGGACATTGCAAATAATGGATGACATCATTGTGTATTGTCCTCCATCACACCTATATTGGACATTGCAAATAATGGATGACATCATTGTGTATTGTCCTCCATCACACCTATATTGGATATTGCAAGTAATGGATGACATCATTGTGTATTGTTGGCCATGAAACTTGAATATAACATTCTGAACAATTGACAACTTTATGTATTTTTTTCATTTATATAGAAATACATCATATACAGTGATTGACAATGTGTATTGTTCTCTAAGATGCAGAAAGATGATATCACAAACAATAAAATGACATCATGTGTTGTTCTTCATGATCCAGAAATATGACATCATAATGTTTTGTTCTCAAATATATACAAATATGACATCATGAACAATGTATGACATCCATTGTTCTCCAAGGTATTGAATATGACATTGTAAATGATGGGGGGTTATTGTTATGCATTTTTCACAACAGAGAACTAAGAAGACAAAATATGGATGACATCATTGTGTTACTATGTTTGAGTCAAGTGCCCAGTGTTTATAAATAAGATACACTTCACTAAGCTTAGTCCCTGTTACTGATAGATTTGTACCTATCTTCCAAATCCGATGTCTAGACTACATACAAGACGTGAGAATGGCTACTTGACAAAGTGAGGTAAATAATTCATTGTAAGGTAGTCATTATCTGACGATGAACAGGTTATCCTATTTAGGTACCAAATGACCCGACTTGCCAAATAAATGATGTAAAACATGAATGTAGGGCTTTTATCTCCTGACATCTCCAGAAAAAGAAACTGAAAAATATTAATCAATATTGTCAGTTAATTGGTATTCTATCTGTTTTAAGCTATCAATATTTGCCATAGTAAAACAACAGTATCTCTCAGTCTTTGAAAGTTTAAAAAAAATGTCAACTTCAGTTTCTGAAAAATCTGAAGGCTGATGATCAATATAAAGTGTTGAGTGACTAAAGTTTGGGTTTTTCTTTCATGTTTCTTGGGTACTGGGGGCGGTCGGGTAGCCTGGTTGTTTAAGCGTTGGCTTGTCACGCCGAAGACCTGGGTTCGATTCCCGACATGGGTACAATGTGTGAAGCCCATTTCTGGTGTCCCCCGTTGTGATATTGCTGGAATATTGCTAAAAGCGGCGTAAAACCATACTCACTCACTCACTCTTGGGCACTGTGGATCAGGTGTCCACAATGTCAGACTGTCGACTGTGACCAAGGTTGACTACTGGGGTGCCACTCACATCAGGTCCTTGGCAAGGCCGTGTGCACGCGTCACAGATGGACTTGATTCCGGGATATTATCACGTTACATTTTCGTTACAAAAATCTCATTACAAGTTAGTGGTTGCAAGTGGTATCATATCGGTCACATCTGTGATTACCATTCCTTGACTGACAATGTTAAAGTAATATTTGTTTGTAATATATGTATCTTCTGTTTTTTGTTTTGAAATAGAAACATTGTAAATTTGTAGACATTATAAGCTTTGTGCTGATTAATAATTTCATTCATTCTGTCACATGGAGGTTTTCTCTGGGGCTAGGACGGGTACCTTGGGTACTTGGGTCGGGTGGGTAATGAGTAGGACCTGGTTACCCACAGGACTACCTGGACCCATGGTTTGTTGTGTCATATTTTGTTTAAAGACAAAAATTATCTGAACCTCGCTGTGCAGAGTTGCGTCCCTTGGGCACGCCAGAAACCTTTGATTGTGGGTTCGAATCCCGGTTGGCCATGATTATGTTTCTAGGTTTGTCAGCACCAGACCCGTGCTCGTGGTAAACGTCTGAGACCTGCATCACTTCGGGCTTTCCTCCAACATTAAGCTGACATAG